AAGAACATGAAGAACTAAGTTTTACCTTCTAAACTTACAGTACAATTGAAACAACAAGAGTGTAGAACATTCTTAGAAAAAGAACAAACAAATATCAAAACGCTTCAAATGGAACATCAATCTGCAGGAAAATACAAACTCAGGAGAAGGTATATAGAGAGAGCTAAGAGAAAACTGATAAAGTATTTGTTTCATTACTGATGAAAATAGGCAGAAGAACAGCTCGAGCAGATAAAGATAGTATTTCTCTTTCTCAGTTACATGTTTTGCTTAGTTCTGTTTCTCTTAGAATATCAGATCTTTCGCTTTCCTGGGCATTGCATTGCCCAATCTCTCACTATCTTCCCTCGGATTTCACAAGCTGAGAGAACACTTTACTCATGGAAACACCAGAGAGATCGTCGATGCTCGATTGCTCAAATTGCCCTGCTGTGCCTGGAATGTTAACACTTGTGTCTCCCTGACTGAAATTGTTGATCTGTGGAGGTAATTCTCCAATCATATTCGTGCTATTATCTTCTGGTTCGCCATCGATGACTGCTTCTTGTAGCTGCAGAGCGTATTCAAGATTCCACAATACATCTCCCATAGACGGCCTATCAACCCCGTAATCAGCCAAACATTTCTCACCTGTTTCCGCGAATTTCCTTAATGAATCGGGCCTGATGTTCCCGCGAAGCGACTGATCTATGATCTGATCCAATTGCCCTTTCTTCTGCCATTTCATCGCCCATTCTGCAAGATTTACCATCTCTCTTGGAAGCGTCGGGTCTATAACAGGTCTAGCACAGAGAACCTCAAAGAGAACAACCCCGAAGGAGTAAACATCGGATTTCTCAGTGAGCTGTTGTCTTCTGAAGTACTCAGGGTCAAGATACCCAAAACTTCCTTTCACAGCAGTACTCACATGAGTCTGATCGAGCTCGGGTCCGGTCTTAGACAGTCCAAAGTCTGCAACTTTAGCCATGAAGTTCTCGTCGAGCAATATGTTTGCGGATTTCACGTCTCTGTGAATAACCGGTTTAGAGTCACCCGTGTGAAGGTAATGCAATCCTCTAGCCGCACCAATACAGATCTCAAGCCGTTGTTTCCAAGTCAAGCTAGGAAGACCCGAGCCGTAAAGATGACCCTTTACCGTTCCATTCTCCATATACTCGTATATCAATATCATCTCATTGTTCTCATCACAGTAACCAATCAGAGAAACCAAATGGCGGTGACGAAACTGAGATAACATCTCAATTTCTGTCCTGAATTCCGCAAGCCCTTGCTGAGATTTTGGGTTTCCTCTTTTAACAGCTACTTTCGTGCCATCATTAAGCTCTCCTTTGTAGACTTTACCAAAACCGCCCACCCCGATGTTGCGACTCTCATCAAAGTTATTTGTAGCGTCCTTAACCGCTGCAAAGGGAATACGGTAATTGGCATTGGTAGTTATACTTGTAAGCGTAGTTCCATTGGAGTATTTGCTTCCCCCCGATGTTCCATTTATCGAAAACGGCATCCAAGTCTTCGAATGACCATCTTGGCTGCGTTTCCGCTTCTTAAACAACACAAAGAAGCAACTTCCCAAGAAGACTAATGCGAGCAACGGACCAATAGTTGCACCTATAATCAACCCGACATTCTTCTGCTTAGTGCTCGGACTACTACCGGGCACAAATGTCCCGATGCTTAGCTGACCCTTAGAGTTATTCATCTTCATGATCTCCAGTCCGTTCACAATCGCGTTCGGATAATCGGTGTTAAGAGCCGATGGACCAATGCTCACACGGATTTTATTAGTACCCTTTGGTGACTGCGTGACAAAATCCATGGAGTATGCACCAGCCAGTGTGTTAACATAAGTGCTAAGATCGACATTCAAAACAGCAACCAGTGAGTCGACATAAACATCGAAATAGAGCTGGTTGAGAGACAAGCTCACAATATCGCAGAAATGGAAACGGAAATAGTACTGAAAACCCGGGTCCACCTCGAATTCCCATGTGACATTGAAATTGCTACTCGGGTTATCCACGGAATTCATCTCAGTGCAAGTACCGTAGACGGTTCTTGGCGCAGTATCCTCTGTGGCATAGCTGGGAACAAACTTAACTGCTGCCGGCTTAGACACGGTCTTAGCTAGATTCTTCTCAAGCAAAAAATCCGAGTCAGGCTGCCAAGTTCTAGTAAGAGTATCGTTGTTAGGCGTAACAAGCGGACCGCCCATGTTCACTCTATGAATGGTTTCGAGAGCCTGCGATGACATGCTCTGCTGAAACGTCGCAGAGTTGCCTATAAACTTTGGAGAAGCAGTGATCAATGTGTCGGGGACAGATATAACCTCAATGGCGTTCACAAAGGCAAACGAACTACCGGAGGGAGTAAACGTGAGCACTAGATCATCCGTGGTCACATTCAAAGAGTACTCTTTAACAATCCTCTTCTTAACCGTGAAATCGCTTAAAAGCACATGAGTTTGCGACGAAACTGCGAATTTAGCTGAACCCATTTGGAAGTTTTGGTAATCGAAAGGATCGAAATGGAGACGAACCCAATGACGACCACGAGTGATAGAGAATTTGTAGGTAGAGACTCCAGTGAAGACTCTCGCCGTAAGGTAAATGCCGGGACCGGAGTTGCTGTCTTGACTAGCGAGGATCTCTTTGGGAGAGGTAAGTAAGTTCGAGGCAAGCTTATCGGACATGAAGACTCGATCCATAACTGTCGAATTGTCGGGAGAGCCACAGTTGATTAAGTAATTATCCGGAGGTGTGAATCCATGACAGATGCAAATCAAGCACGAGATCGTTAAAACCAAGAAATTTCCGAAACCCATCTTTGACTAAGAAACCTGCAAATTCGACAAGAAACGGAACAGATCCGGAGAAACAAAAAAAAACAATCAGATAGATTCTAAGCTAGAGGTGAGAGAAACTAGGGTAAAGATGGCAACTTTCGGAAATCACGCAAAGGCTAAAAATCGACAGAAAACAAAACTAAAATTTACCTTTTAAGACAAGAAGAAATCCAGGAGATGTAACGGTCCCATGTAAGGCTAAAAAGTTGATGGATCAGATAAATGAATAGATCAAGAACGAGAACTCAGATTGTGAATAGAATATATCGAAAACTGTACTCGTAAAAGAGTGTAGATTCCAGCAAAGAACAGACTGGTACACAGTAAGTTTGATTCTTTGTGAAACTCTGCAAAAAGATGAACTCTCAAAGACTATAATTTTGATTTCTTGAGACAGGAGAGAAACAGAGAGAAGATGGAGGAAAAAGTTGTCAATCACGTTTGAAAGGAAAAATCGAATTTTCTCTCGCTG